AAGAAGTCGCGAATTATTCAAGGTTTTGAGGAACATTTTTCACAGGCCTGGCAATAAATCCTTCCCTTTCACTCCCTCATTGTTTTTACTAATCCACAAAACTTGGGGCTGCTGTACAGCTTTGCCATGGTCCTTCCTTCTGTGACCATGGTAACTGATCTGCTTTAGCAAAGCTGCTCCGAGAAACCCTTGGCAGACAGCTCTCCCAGCAAGGGGCTGCCGCAGGTAAACAGCAGCATTCACACAGTGTTTTTGTTTCCTGTGCAGCCTTTGACTCATTTGAAAATTAAATCAGTCCCTTCCTCTCTGCAGGTGCAGAACCGGGACCTCTGAAGTGGAGAGGTGTTCAGACACACACGGGCAAATGTTCATGCCTGAAAAACACACGCAGATGCACATACAGTATTTTTTTTTTCTGAATTCCTCCTATGTTGAGAGCAGGGTGGCAGAATGCCACTATAATGACTCTGCAATGCCTGGGATATTCCTTTCCCCTAAGGAAATCCTTAGAAGACCAGGCAAGTCAATTTTACAGTGCTCCCTACACCCAGAGTGTGTGACAGGAGAGGACAGACATACCTGTCTTGGGGGATCATTTGACCCCCACTCCATGGGTGACTAGTGCCACCTTAGTAGGGGGGAGGAGCATGTTCCCCCCCCAGCGACCAGTCAGCGACCGGGGGGGGGCACCACTCCCTGACCAGCGCTTGCAGGGGGGGCACCGGTGCTCCTGCCTGCCCCTCGGCCCGTCACCTAAGCGGTGAGCGCAGCCAGTCGGGGGTACACCGACACTCTAAGGGGGTGCATGTGTACCCCCATGCAACCCCTATGCGTCAACACTGGAGGTCTCAGAGAGGAGGTTCAAGACTCTTGAGGGGCTGGAAGCCCTAATTCTGGATACCAGGATGGAAACAGTTTATAGTGACGTGTAGGAGGGATGGGAGCTGAGGCAATTCTTACATTCTTAGGAAGGAAGGTGAACTTCCACATCCCTTAAATCATATGGTCCTAATTTGAGTGCCAAGGGCCATATAAGAGGGATGTAGTACCCTATTACAAGACATTATTGCTTCAGCAGCCCCCAGAATAAGTGATGCCTTAAAATACGGGTCAGAACAAAGCCATGGCACAAGTTATGGTGGCATATCCCCACATCATCCACGTCCTGAAAGCCATTAGAGAATTCTGTAATAGCCTGCAAGTTTGGATGCTTAATCAGGTGTATCTGTAGCACAATGATCCTAAGGGAGGAAAAAAAGGAGATAAGGGCAACTAAGCCTAGCTTTACCATATTCCTTTGCTTTGCCCACTTCAGTGCCACAGAAGCTTCCACAAGAGAAATATGGTCTGCTCGCCGGAAAATAGAAACGGGAGCCAAGGCTTCCTGTTTCAGTTCTAACAACAATCTACTACGTACACTTGGGTTAGCTTCTACAAGTCCTGGGCTCACATTTCTCATCTATATGTATCTGCTACCTCTGAAGACTTCATTGAAGTGATGACAACTTACACCAGTTGAGGATCTGGCATAATTTCCTTTTGAAACCTAAGCTAAAAAGTCCATAGCCTACACCCACCCCATATGTCCATTCAAAACATTTTCTTGCTATGAACACACCTGACTGAATCCATCTAATGAGTTCTAAAGATTTTAATACATCACTGTCAAGGCTGGCTGCACTATGCGGTCAGATTTGGGAATTGCCTAGAGAAGCAAAAATGTTCAGTGACTGAGCCCTGATAGGTAGATATTTTTCAGTTTCCCTAGGACAGCAAGGCCCCTATGAGGTGGTGCCAACTCTGGGCTCTAAACTAACCTCTGGAAGTTCTCCGATCTACCGCACTTTGTAGAACACAAAATTAGAAGCAAAACTAAGTCAACTCTGTATCACTGCAAGATAGAAACAAAAACTGCATGATTTAAAAATTTAAAGAGTCCTTCAACTCATAATGTTCAGATGTATGTGAGTCAGAGGCAATAGTGCAAGGTCTCTGATGGTGCAGTCAAGAATAGAGTACATCAGAGACTATCTGTCAGAACAGATCAAAGCAATCATTCAGCACCCCCAACCCATTGAAAGGATTTGAAAATGTGTCAGCTCTGGGTTAAGGTTGGCATCCTAAAAACAATCAGGTTACAGGGTTCTAGAACTGTAACACAGTGAGACCTTTTAAAACTCTGTTATAGAAGTACAAATCTGAATACAGACACAAATACAGCTCACCATTAAAAACACCACACCACATTCACTAGAATACATTCATTAGATACAAGTCAGTAATGAATCTGGCTTTATCGGCCACTAAAGCTGTATTTATGATAGTCTGGTTAAAGCTTTCATGGAGCAAAATCCAGGACAGAGTCCTAGGTACGCCACAGACCTCTAGAACTGAAAGCCGTTCACACCACTTCTGGTTCTGGTTAGTTTAGCCATCACAATGCAGCATTTTTCACAGCTACCCACCAAACCAGAAAGAGCATAGCTGCAGTCATGTGACTCCACGGCCAAGCTAATTAGCCCTGCCTCTCAGCAGAGCAAATTAATTTAGCCACATTATCACTGCCTCTCAGTATCGCATGAATTTGGTGGTCTGGATACTGTGTTGTGTGAACGTGACTATATTGCTTCTGGTTCAGGAGATGGCAGCAGCCTCCCACCCAGAAACAGGATCACTCAGGGGTTCATAGTCTTTTCTGATTCAAGGTACCCCTCATTAGACAAAAGACAGCCCTTGGAAAATGCCAGATCATAATTTTCAGTCATTTTTTTACTACAGAAAAATACTAAAACAATTCTTCTGTTTCAGGGAACTCAGAAAACCATAACAGGTCAGAATGTTTTTAAAACCATGGATTCATATTTGATAGCTCTGGCTTTATCTTGTGAATGTTTGCCCAGCTAACAGTGCTAACACTGTGTAGCATCCTATGGCTCCCTTGAAAGGACCTCAAGGCACCCCAGAGTGCCACAGCTCCCTGGTTGACAGCCACACATGTAGCTGCGTTCTCAGTGGCAGGCAGGCACTGCTGTGCTGCCTCCTCTCAGGAGACACAGCACAACCAGGGGTAGGTTTACCACTTGGGGAAGCCAGACAAGGGTTCTTACTCTTTGTTAAATGATATTACCAAGAAAAGCTTTGAAATCAAGGCCAGGTACAGGCATTACATTCTTACCAGTAAAAGTGATCAGAAACCGGTCTATACCCGTAAGAGAAAAGAAGTTTTGTACATGTAGACAGTTTAAAAGTGGTGGAACCCAGTCAAAGATTCCCTTCCCCACAAAAAAAGGGTGAATGTGTATTCTGTTCGCTACTGAGCTAAAATACGATTCTGCCTCAGGCTTTTCGATCGATTCTGCCTCAGGCTTTCTGAATATCTGTACCTAGTCCAAGAGCTGCTAGCTAGTTTCATAGCTGCTAATGCAAAGGAGACCCTTGCAATTGCAAGTCTGAACTGTCCTAAGGTCAGTCCTGAGCAGAAAAATGTTTGACGCTGACTTGAGACTAAAAGAGAATGAAAGACCCATTGCAGAGAGTCCATAGGGATCCTGGGACACAGCCCTGAAATTTGGAGCTGTTCTGGAAAATATAGACTGGCTAGTCACTTTATAAGGTGCCCAAACACGTCAGTGTGTACAACCATCCATTTTTATCCAAGGTTACAACGTTGTGATTTCTGCAGTATTGGGCTGTACTTTGATTAGAAAATAACTGGGAGGTGTCAAATCATGCCACATGGTGACTGCTGTCTTTTTCATGTTAACTACCGGATATTGACTGAAGCTGAGCTTTTGAGTGGAAAATGACTTTCAGTAACCATACACATAGAAACATGAATTATGTGCACAGTCATCCAAATGAGATCCTCATCATGTGTTTTTCTGTACCCTTTAGAAAAGTCTCATTCCCTTAATTCAGTAAACATTCAGATATGCACATATACATATGCACCTATATACATACAGAGAACACTTATTGTTAAGTGACCCTAGATGCACGTAGTAGACACAGCTGCAGAAGTCAATGGCTAAGGAACAATATTTTGTCCAGTCTCTAGCTCCTCCATTTGCATGACATCTTTGTATTTGTTCAAAATGTGGTTTCAAGAGTTAACAGCATTTTACTTGTGCATTTGTACTGCTTTTTCTCTTTCTCCTACTATGAATTTCATTTTGGTGGTAAAGCTGAAACAGCAACAGAGCAGCCAGGAAATATGCCCCAGATGTTGTAATAAGCTTGGAACAAATTACAACGTTTCAAATGCAATGCAATTTTTTTTTGTCTTTCCTCCAAACCTAATTTATTTTCTTCTGTCCGATCCCACATCTCAGCCTCTCTCCCCCTGACATTTCTTCTCAGATGTTTTGCTGTCACCTTAAACATAGCATGGACAAAAGCCAGCTTATCTTTTCCTAGAAAATTACCCTCCACAATCCTATTTGCTGTCACTGTCACCATCTTCCCTGTTATTTCAAGTCTGTAGCTTGGGGTTCAGCTTTGACTGCTCTTTCTCCTTTGCCCTTAATATCCAGGGTGTATCTAAATCCTCTCACTGCTGCTTTCTGCACCTCTCTCAGATTTGCCAGCCAGTCAGAACTCTCATCCATGCCTTTTCATCTTGTTTGATTACTGTAACCTCTGAATTGTCCCCTCCAGCCCTTTTAAAATGCAAGCATGTAAATCACCTTTCTGCATTGCTTTGACCACATCATCTTCATTGTTCACCCCTCCACTGGCTCCTCCTGTGTCACTGCATCAAATTCAGGTGCCATGTGCTCACCTTGAGGTCCTTCAGGACTCCACTCCTGTCTGCTTCTCCATTCACATCCCTTTACATATTGCCTTCTGCCTCATTGCCCTTTGCCAGCTTCTCATACAAAAATATCTCATGCATGAACCACCCACCCTGTACTGACCCTTAAAGTCACACCTGCTCTCCCTTCAAAACCTTCTTAAGACTCACCTCTGCTGCACCCCCTGTAAAAATGAGCTTATTACTGATGGGTTATAGGGGGGTGAGGGTAGCTCACATTGACTTTATGTATTTATGCCAGATTTAAAAACTGTCTATGCATATACCTGAATGATATACAATCTATTCTAACACTCTTGTCCCTCCCCATTCACTTGTTACTTCTCTGTAGGATGTAAACTCACTGGGGAACATGAGCTCTCAGCTTCCAGAACACATAACACAATAGTTTCCTGATCAGGGCATCTAGGCACTGTGTGGTAGTCTAAAGACAAAAAAGCAACTGCAGCAGCAAAGGAACGTAATGGTCTCCTGCAGTTCAGCTTTTAAAAGGTATCAGACATTCTGGAACAGGCTCTCTCCCAAGCCAGTGTCTCAGTTCTCATGGGCAGACCCATTTCACTTGCTACTTAGAAATTCTTCCAGGCAGCTCTATATTAAGTGGGTTGTAAACAGAACCTAACACAACAAGAGGGTTGATATAATGTAACATACGTCCACCATGTTCTCTATCCCCAAAATAAGCCAGGCACATCCCTTTTCTATAGGGTGCAAAGGAGTGGGAGGGGAAGACTTAAGACCTAGAGAGTGAACACAGAACACTGGCACCACCAGAGTGTTTCCCGCTCACAAATGAATCCTGTTATCCATCCACAGCCTGTTTCCAGGCTCTTTATTCCACCTTAATGGTATAAAGGGGTCTGGATCTGTTGAGAGAATCTTGCCTTATGACAGCTCCTTGAGAACACGCCATAACCTGTTGGGGCCTTCTATGAAGCTCCTTGCCAGAGCAGATTGTGTGGAAGCATTTCTCTCGGTGAAAGGATAGAAACACAGAGAAAGCCTTTGTTACAAAAAGAAGTAGTAATTTAAAAATGTCACCTGTGCAGCTCTAGGGGCTTCAAGCTCAATGTCTTTTCTGACCTCTAATGGTGCGTGTGTCCCATGTATCTTTTATTAGCCAAGCTTGTCCTACAAGAAAAAAAATATTAAATTGCTGCAGAAGTCAATAAAATTGACAATCATGTTAAATAAACAATTTATTAAAACACACCATTCTGATGAATACACTTAGGCTAATTGCATTCTTAATTTGGTGCACATTAGTACTAATGAAAAGCTTTTAATACCCAGTGAAGCATCGGATTCCTCAGAATCTGTTTGGCACCCTTTGGTGTGGTTGAAATGCCTACATACAATCTGTCCACATGGTACATATACACCTACCAGCACAACAGGACTGGATCTAACAACAGAGCTTTTAAAATTTTACAGGATTTTTTTTGGCAAAATTTAATCTGCTGTAGCTTTATAGTCTATTTGCTGGAAAAATTAAAGAGGCAGAAGAAAAAATGTAAAATATCTGTCTGTAACGCAGCCTAGTTAGTAGAGGGGTGCAGTGGAAAACCAGGATTCACTCTCTGATTCTGCCAATGGCTTGTCGTGTGAATTTGAACAAATTACTTCACCTCTTTGTGTCTCAGTTTTACCACCTATGACAGGGATAACGAAACTACCCTGAAGTAGAGTAAAGAGGCTGAACTGGTTATTGCTAAGGGCTTGGAGATCTTTGAATGAAAATTCCTGTAACAACAACGGCATGCAGACAGACAGACATAAGAACTGAGCAATAATTCATAATTTCTTCTTTTCCTTTCCATTTCAAATGATATTTAACAATTGTCTCTTGGCCAGCAGGGATATGTTGAGAGTGCAAATCAAACTTGTTTTACCATTATTTTACCTCTTCTTTGATTCATCTCTCCCCCAGACCATAATTATATTTTCTTGCATAAAACATATACCTTCCCCGCAAAAAACCAGGGGGGGTGGAGACTGGGATGAGCATTATATGTAAGAAATACTGATCCTGAAAATTTGGCAATGGGGGAGCAGTGGCAGAGTTAATTTCTGTGTCTGTAGGATCCATGGCAATTAACAGTCACCACTCCTGCACTGAGTCAGTGTACCGAGTCAGGCCACAGCTGAACCCAGCTCATACCTCAGACTTAGATCAGGCCAAGAAGCAGGGTGTGGCTGTGGCAAGACCCAGTACACTGGGCTGGATACAATATGTGCTCTTAGATCCAGTGCTGCATATCAGGTTTGTGCACAGGGCCTGGCATGGGCCAGACAGGATGCACAGGGTTGGACCCAGCACGTGGCCCTAGACTCAGTGTAGGATCCAGCTATGGGCAGACTCAGCCCATGACCCCACACCAGCTGGATCAAGCTGCAGCCAGACCCACTATGTGGCCCTGGAACTAGTGCAGAGTACTGACCCAGCACGTGGTCCCAGAACAGGTATGCTGGTTCAGTTATTTACCCATTCTAGAAGGTAAAAAAAAAATCATTTTTCAAGTTGTCTATAAAAACTAGGTGGCATATTCTATTCAAGGGTATGGTATAGATAAGAAAATGTATTATTTATACAACATCTAATGCAATTAGACTCCTGAAACTCAAATGCAGACCAATAATGCCTGCCATACAACTAGTTAATAAAATGAAGTAATTTTTTTAACCAGTTTTATTCTGTGGCTTGATTCTAAACTCAAACTATGAGTAGACAGGTGAGTCATACAGGCCATTCCTGTTCCTAGACTGAATGAGAGTACAGTCACTTCCAGCATGAAGAACTGGCTGAGCAAATATTAAATCTGTTTTCCAGAAGTATTTGTGCACACAACTGTGGAGTTTGCCTCCTGGGACAATTCCTGTGAAGAAAAATCTAACACTTATTGTTTGCAGAAAGGGAACACCAAAGGGACTCAATGCATTTGCCTGGACTGTGTCACCAGCACTCCCAAGAAAGGCCACTAATGAGCACACCTCACACACCTGCTTGCTGCCACTCGCATATGCCAAACGTAGAAATGCAGTGGTGAAGCTGCTTGGGGGAGACTATACCTGTCACTCATGCATGCCAGAGATAGACATCTCAAGACTGACTGGGGATGTTCCTAGAGTAGCTGTTCCATTCCTGAGTTTGGCACGTGTGAGTGGGAAGTAAAAGAGTGTCCCACCCTGACAGCAAGGGGACATGGCACAAATAAACCCAACGTAGCCAAAGCAAGTTCACATGAAACATCTAATGAATACTTTTTTGCATTATTCTCCCAACTGGAATGCTCCCCCTCTCTGTTCCTCAGTGCCTCTTGCACACAGTCAGCATGCTTTGTCTTGTGAAATGACACCCTGTTCATTGCACAAGACTGAACAGAGTTATTAATTTGTTCCTTCCACTCTTGATGCTAAAAGTACAGTGGTAAGCTGCTGTTTGGCAGAGGGGATGGCTCTAACTTTTGGTTTAGAGATATTACTATGCTATATAAACCTGTGATTAGGAAAATAATGCGACTGATAGGATTCCTATTCTCACAGTATGTGACTATAATTATATATCTACAGCCCTCAGAGGCTTGTGTGGGAAGGGAAATCTTATTTTTTTCCCTCTGAAGTCACAATATTTTAAAGGAATTACAGTTCTCCATGGAGGAAGAGCTTAGATGTTTCAGTAGGTAGCAGCAGGTGTTGTGTTAGCAGAGATGACAAGCAGTATTAAATACCAGATAAGAGCTATGCTCCATCTTTCCTCCATGGTCTGGAAGGGCATGAAGACTCTTTTAGCTAATAGCTATGATTTTGTCATTAAGGAGAATTACAGAAAGTGCAAAACCACTATGTCTAATTTTGACTCGAGCAGGCTGATGTCTTTAATTACAGTCTCTGTGGGAATGCAGGAGATGCCAGTTATGGCTGAAGCCAAGTTTTCTTGTTTGGCACAGCTGATCTGATCCCAAGGCCACATCTGCTTCAGCTTGGTGAGTATGTACACATTTGACATACTGTCCTATCATGTCATGCTGTCCCTCAGATTGAAGCATCATGTTTGAGCTGTTTACTAATCTTTATGCTTTGGGATCATCTCCTTGAAGAGGTCTTTGATTAAGAAAATATAGCTAAATTCACAAGCCTTTCCTACTTTTATGCACCTTAGTAAAAGAAGCAAAGCAAGGAGAGAGGTCAGGGGGTGTGACTGGCTGCTCTGAGGAATGTGTAGCGTGTGAAACAAGAAAAAGTTGTAAAGGCGACAAGAGTGGAGAAAGAACTTCTATTTTGTGTATAAATCCAGACCTTCCTGCACACTTTCTAGAGCAGAGTAGAAGCCAGTGGCTTTGGTCTTGGGTCCCAGGGGCCCTAGGGCATCCTTGCTGTTGCAGTTCATCAGTACCATTAACTTCTGTCAGATGGAGACATGCATGGAAACTGAGATAAACTAGGTCTACCCTCTCCTTCAAGGAATAAGCAGCAGCTAGCAAACCTGTGCCTGCTGATTTGTAAGGGGTCAGTATTTTTGTGGTGGAGAAGGGGGGGACATGTTTTGATGGAACTGGGCCCAGAGTAACCTTAACCCCTCCCTAACAGTGCCAGACTGGAAGGTTTCAGAGAAAGGTAAAGCACATGGCATTCTGATGGACTTGGAGCTCTGCACGGGCCATCAACCACATGCATTATCCTGTAACGGGAGCTGCTGTATAAATAACTAATTGCACTGGAATTTTATAGTGCTTATATAGCAGAGTCATCGCTGTGACATGACAACATTACTGCATGTAAATCCAATTAGATTCCAAAGTGCACTGTGTAACTATAATCGGCCCCTATGGAGCAGCATTGAAAGGACTACACAAGGCCATGAAACTAGATACTAAATTACAGTCAATCTAGCCCCTCTTTAGTTGCATTAAAATGCTAATGTAACATGGGCCCATTTACCAGGGACAACTGCTTTAGCTTGTAATACCAAAGCAAGCAAACTCACTGCACAGTCTAATGCATTTAACTGCTCTGCATAGCTGACTGTAAGGCTCCTAGGAGCACACTGACACCTCCAAACATTAACTCAGCAGACTTTCTAAAATATTAATCAAGCTCTGGATGATTTCAATGAAACCAAATTGTTGAAGAAACTACCCTTAGAGTTTCCTTCCTATGTACAACACTCTGGGCAACCCCTCATGACACATAGCTTTCTACTTTTAAACAAGCCTACATTCCATGAAAAAGTGGCCACATAGTACCCTGACCCGGACCCTCTATCCACAAGTGCCCCATTACTGAAATGAAACGGTTAGGAACCGGGGAAAAGGAGAGAGCAGGCTGGATTGAAATGCTTGGGGCAGACCCCAAAAAAGTATTTAGGTGTTTAAACTTTAGTTGAAATGAATGGGAATTCAGGTGTTGAATCCTCCCCTTAAGGTTCTGTAATAAACAACAACAGTTCTGAAATATAAGTAGTAATAGTTAGAACTTATGCTTTATATCTGTATGATAATACACCCCGACACACATGCACCACTATGAAAACATGAACAAATCATTTAAGTTAGCACTTCTCATCAAGGGCTTCCTAACTCTGTGCAAAGTTAGTAAATAAAAAATATAAAATCGGGCCCTTGCATAACACTTTACATGCAGAGTTCAAAGCCCCTTAGAAAGGAAAGATAAGGATTCCCGTTTTACAGATAAAGAAATTGAGGCTGAGAGGGAAGGCACACACAGTACTCCATCCACCAAATAATGCTGATATCAACCCTAGACTCAATAAGGTTTCAGTCATTTTTGGCTCATGGGTTACATTCTTTATTTAAAAACACTTCTTTGCATGAAAGAAGTGTTCTTGGTTACTTTGACGTATGTTCCTAACTTCGGACATCCCCATTTGATAATGCTGGCTTTCAAGCATGGAGCAAATTCACCCCAGACATAAGTCATGGTGTTACATCAGGAGGGAATTGGTTGTTACAGAAAATAAAAAGTTACATATGCCATTGTTTTATCTACTTTGGGGTATAGCAATGTTTTCTACACTTCCTAGCTTTCAGCACTTGATTACAAGTGTAGAGAACCTTCCATTATTTCATTAGCCTGAACAGATCTTATTTTTATAGGCACTGACTCCTTGGCTT